TCGTCCGTCGTCGTTGGCGCCGTCGCCGTCGTTCGTGGTCTCCGTCGTCTCCGTCGTCGTCGTCGTCCATCATCGTCGTCGTCGTCACCTTCCGTCGTCGTCGGCGTCGGCGTCGTCGTCGGCGTCTTCCGTCTTCCGTCTCAGTCCGCCGTCGTCGTCGTCTTCCGTTGTCGTCGGCGTCGTCGTCGTCGTCCGTCGTCGTTGTCCGTCGTCCGTCGTCTTCGTCGCCGTCGTCGCCCGTCGCCGTCGGCTTTCTATATGAGCGTCTTGAGCCCCTTTGGGGGGCTGCGGGGGGACGTGGCTTGAGCCCAAGAAGGGTAAGGTGAGGTCCTCCATCATTAAACAGAGCGGTCACTATCCTAGCGCCTTGACAAACCGCAGCCCTGATGATCTCGTCGTAGTCGCCGTCGTCGTCTTCCTCATCCGTCGTCGTCGTCGTCGTCCGTCGTCGTAGTCGTCGTCGTCATCGTCGTCCATGGTCGTCCGTCGTCGGCGTCCGTGGTCGTCCGCCGTCGTCGTCGTCGTCGTTGTCGTCGTCGTCTCTGTCGGCGGCGTCGTCGTCGTCGTAGTCGTCCGCCCTCCGTCGTCGTCGTCGTCGTCGTCGTCGTCCGTTGTCGTCGTCGTCGTCCGCCGTCGTCGTCGTCGCCGTCCGTCGTCGTCATCGTCGTCGTCTCCGTCGGCGTCGTCGTCGTCATGTTCGTCGTCCGTCGTAGTCGTCGTCGTCGTCGTCGTCGTCGTCGTCGTCCGTCGTCCGTCGCCGTCTTCGTCGTCGTAGTCGTCCGTCGTCGTCGTCGTCCTATCTCAGCGTCTTGAGCCCCTCTGGGGGGGGGGGCATGGCTTGAGCACAAACGGGATACGTCGGAGGTGAGGTCCTCCCCCCTCTTACCCAGAGCGGTCACTATCTCAGCGTCTTGACAAGCCGCAGCCCTGATGATTCGAAACTCTCGTCGTCGTCGTCGTCCGTCGTCGTAATCGTCGTCGTCGTCGTCGTCGTCCGTGGTCGTCGTCGTCGTCCGTCGTCTTCCGTCGTCGGCGTCGTCGTCGTCGGCGTCTTCCGTCTTCCGTCTCAGTCCGTCGTCGTCGTCGTCGTCGTCTTCCGTCGTCGTTTGATGCGTCGTCGTCCGTCGTCGTCGTCCGTCGTCCGTCGTATTCGTCGTCGTCGTCGCCCGTCGTCGTCGTCTTCCTATATGAGCGTCCTGAGCCCGGGGCAGCGGGGGGAGGTGGTTTAAGCCCAAGGGGGGTACGGAGGAGGTGAGGTCCTCCATCATTAACCAGGGCGGTCACTATCTCAGCGTCTTGACAAGTCGCAGCCCTGATGATTCGAAGCTCTCGTCGTAGTCGCCGTCGTCGTCTTCCTCGTCCGTCGTAGTCGTCGTCGTCCGTCGTCGTCGTCGTCGTCCGTCGTCGTAGTCGTCGTCGTCGTCGTCGTCCATGGTCGTCGTCGTCGTCCGTCGTCTTCCGTCGTCGTCGTCGTCGTTGTCGTTGTCGTCGTCGTCGTCGTCGTCCGTTGTCGTCGTCGTCGTCGTCGTCGTCCGTCGTCGTCGTCGGCATCGACGTCGTCGTCGTCCGTCGTCATCGTCGTCGTCGTTGTCGCCGCCCGTCGTCGTTGTCGTCGTCGTCCGCGGTCGTCGTCGTCGTCGTCCGTCGTCCTCGTCGTCGTCCGTCGTCGTCGTCGTTGTCGTCGTCGTCCGTCGTCGTCGTCCGTCGTCGCCTTCGTCGTCATGGTCGTCCGTCGTCGTCGTCGTCGTCGTGGTCGTCGTCGTCGTCGTCCGTCGTCGTCGTCGTCTACCGTCGTCGTCGTCATCGTCCGTCGTCTCCATCGGCGTCGTCGTCGTTGTCTGTCGTCGTCGTCGTCCGTCGTCCGTCGTCGTCTTCCTCGTCGTCGTCGCCCGTCATCATCGTCGCCGTCGTCGTCGTTGTCAGTCGTCGCCGTCGTTGTCGTCGTCGCCGGCCGTCGTCGTCATCATCTTTGTTGTCATCGTCGCCGTCCGTCGTCGTCAACGTAGCCGTGTTCGTCGTCGTCGTCGTCCGTCGTCTTCGGCGTCGTCGTCGTCCGCCGTCTCCGTCGTCGTCGTCGTCGGTCGTCGTCGTCTTCGTCTTGGTCTTCGCCCGTCGTCGTCGCCAGCGTCGTCGTCGTCGTCGTCCGTCGTCGTCGTCGTCGTCGTCCGTCGTCGTCGTCGTCGTCGTCGTCGTCCATCGTCGTCGTCGTCGTCGTCGTCGTCGTCGTCAATCGTCATCGTCGTTGTCGTCGTCGCCGTCCGTCGTCGTCATCATCGTTGTCGTCATCGTCGCCCGTCGTCGTCGTCGTCGTGTTCGTCGTCGTCGTCCGTCGTCGTCGTCGTGCGTCGCCGTCCGTCGTCGTCGTCGTCGTCGTCGTCCGTCGTCGTCGTCGTCGCCGTCCGTCGTCGTCGCAGTTTTCGTCGTCCGTCGTCGTCGTCGTCGTGCGTCGCTGTCTGTCGTCGTCGTCGTCGTCGTTGTCCGTCGTCGTCGTCGTCGTCGTCGTCCGTCGTCGTCGTCGTCGTCGGTGTCGTCGTCGTCGTCGTCGTCACCATCATCATCGACAGCATCATCATCGTCGTCGGCATCGTCGGCATCATCATCAGCAGCATTATCATCAGCATGCATCTTCATCCTCATCCTCGTCCTCATCCCCATCCTCTCTCTTATGGTCGTCTTGGCCGTTGCGTCAACACCATAGGCATCGTTGTCTCGACACACACATCGCCAATCTCATCATAGCCACCACCATCGCCATAGTCGTCGCCGTGAGCAGCAGCATCGTCATCGCCCTCCTCTTCATCATCATCGTCATCGTCGCCGTCTCTCGCCATCACCAACATCAACAGATCCACCACCACCACCGCTCACCACCACTCACCGCTCACCACTCGCTGCCACCATTTACCATCGCTCGGACGCCCATTCCCCGTGCATGTGTCGGTTGCGTGCGTGCTCCTCTTGGCCAGATGATCCAGGATGCTCCTCGATGGTCCGACGCTGCGTGGTGCGGGGCACGGGCCCTGCGCCCCTGAGGGTGATCCATAGCTCCACGAGGGCCTGCGGCGGGCTCGCGCTCCTGGCCTCCGAGTCCCGGGCTCGGGCCGACAGGCCCCGATCGCGTGAAGCGCACGAAGCCCGCGCCAGCAGAGCATGTTGCCTGGAGGATCCCCAACCGTAGTGTCCTCGTCGTCCTCGTCGTCCTCGCTGTCGTCCTCTTCGTCGTCGTCATCGTCGTCGTCGTCGTCGTCGTCGTACTCCTCGTCGTCCTCGCCGTCGTCGTCAACGTCTCCGCAGCCCTGCGGCCAGCCTGGGCCAGGAAGATCGACTTTCCACTGTTGAGACTGCGGCAAGTGCTCTCGACTCTCGATTGTCGCTCACTGCTGGGGCTTTATCCTCCTCCTCCTCCTCCTCCTCCTCCGCCCTCCTCCTCATCCTCCTCCTCCTCCTCCTACTCCTCCTTCTCCCACATCTCTCCTCCTCCTCCTCTTCATCCTCCTCCTCCTCCTCCCCCTCCTCCTCCTCCCCCTCCTCCTCCCAAGTGATCTCGGTCTTTGTCTCCCTCCACCTCCTCCTCCTCCTCCTCCCTCATCTCTCCTCCTACTGCTGTCTCTTCTCCTCCTAAGTAGCACTCTCGGTTGTTTTCCTGTGAGCGCTCATTGTTGGACGCACGCTGCTGGTGTTCTGTCCTGACGCATGCCATAGAACCCCCTTGCGCTTTGGCGTGGGAGGAAGCCAAAAAGGACGTGCAGTCCTCCAAGCCATGCCCAACATCTCGGACAAAACGAATTTGAGCTACGCACCCATGCTCAGAAAAGAAACAAAGAACTCGGAGGAGGAAAATTAACCGATGCCGCTACAATTGCCTCGTTTTGGCCACGTGGGGTCTCCCAGGAGGCCCTCGTCGCCAGCGCTGGATTCGAATCGAAATCCTGGTCAGAACGCACCCCGAGAGAGATCCGGGGAGTAGCGGTATCGGTACCTTTTCGTCTCCCCAGGGCCATCGCCACCGAGAACCCATCGGTGGGGTGCAGAGCCCGGGGAGATGGCACGCCCGATCGTCACCCAGTGCTGGACCACGCTCAGTCGATTCCCTCACGAGGGGTTCGCGGTGGCCGCGGTCCATGTTTCTACCCTGACACTCAACATGCGGCGCGAGCGCACTATTGGCGTATGTAGCTAGCTGTCGAGCCCAATCTCACCGATAGAAGGGCGCGAACTCTGAACCAGCACCAGACCTGGCCGGTCGGGTGCCGTACCTAGGCTTGGTGCATGGTCTCTGGCTGCCGCTGGCAAGGCCAGTTCAGGGCCCAGGATGCGTCTGGCCAGCCCTGGTGTTGGCAGGTGGCGTCCTTTCTCGCCGAGTCTGTCTCTGCAGCTCGACGAATGCGACGGCCTTACATGCGCTTTGCTCAAACCTTCTCACCACTGTCGCCGGCAAACTCTGGCCGGTCACCCTATGGGATAGCCCGATGCCTGTCAGTCGGCGTACCAGTAGAGCACGGACACGAGGCAGTAGGCGAGTGTGAGCAGGAAACCCTCCAGAAAAGAGTGAGGAGGGGTGGGGAGAGGACGGGAGAAGGGAGGGAGTAGGAGAAAGGGGATGATAAGAGAGAGAGAGAGAGTGAGGAGGAGAGGGAGGAGGAAGAGGAGGAGGAGGAAGAGGCGGAGGAGGAGGAGGAGGAGGTGGTGGATAAGAAGATACGTAGGAATAGGAGGAGAGAGTCAGGCAAGAAGAGGACGAGGCGGAGAAAGGACAAGAGAGGGGAGGGAGGAGTAAAAAGAGTAGGAGGAGGGAGGCACAGAGGGAATAGGAGGAAAGGAGGGGTGGGGGAAGGGAGGGTGGGGAAGCAGGGGGGTTGAGGAGGCGGGAGGAGGGACAGGGATGATGATGAGGAGGAGGAGGAGGAGGAGGAGGAGGAGGAGGAGGAGAAGGGGGGGGGGGAGGAGGGAGGGAGTGGAAGGAGAAGGGGAGTAGAAAAGATAAAGTAAGAGAGACGAACCTCCAACCAATTGGACTTGCCGTCCATCACGATCGAGAACACCACCTTCGCAAGATCGAAAGGTGCCCCTCCCGCGCCTCCTCCCGATCCTACCCCTCCTCCTCCAACCCCTCCCTTCCTCATCCTCCTCTTCCTCCTCCTCCTCAAGATCAAGCTGTTTCTCCTTATCCCTCTCCCCTGACAGCAAAGCGCCGCACGATCGTCAGAGCATCAGGCAGCCTCTGAACCCGCTTAATCACCTCGTCCTCCACCTCCTCCCGTTTTTCCTTTTTTTATAGAATATCGGCCCATTCCTCCTCTTCATCCTCCGCATCCGCCCTCCTTTCAAACATGTGCACATGTATACATAGATATGTGTGTGCATATTTGCGTGAATCTACATATATATACACATGATCGGTTCGCCATCGTGGGCCCCCATGTAATTAATGTTTTTGTCTAGCAACATGTGTGGGGCGACAAGGGCATATATATATATATATATACACATTCCCAATCAATGCTTGCACTGAAGGGGTCCTAGCGGGTATTCCCAAATCAGTGCTTGCGCTGAAATGGTCCTAGCGGATATTGAAAAATCTGGCCAACATTTCCCGCCGATTTTGGCAGCCGGCTGGTCCCGGTTCTGGATTCCCGGGTTCCTGAGTATTGGTTCCGCGCTGACTTCGGTGGGTTCTGGGTTCCCGGGTTCCCGGTCGATCTCCTTTATCGATCTCTTGATCGATCCCACGATGCATTATCGATCTCACGATGCACCTCACCCAATCGATCTCACCATCGATCTCATTATCGATTTAACCATCGATCTGACTATCGATCTCACTGCCCATCTCATTGGTGGCTGGCTGGGATCCCGGGCCCCCGATTGATAAAACAAAACCGATTTCGGTGGGCGGCGGGGTTCCGGGGTTTCCAATTTCGGGCCCCCGGGTTCCCAGTCGATCCCTCTATCGATCTCAGTATCGATTTTATTCAGTCGACACCAATATCGATCCCACCATCCGTTTTACATGTGATATCACTGTCGATCTCTTTCATTCGACCCGGATCAATACCGATTTCAACATCGAACACACTATGTTATCGATCTCGCCATCGTTCCCACTCCTGCGAAACGTTTCAAAATCCATTGATTATTTTTCCTGGTGTGGTCATATGGGTATATGTATTTACATATATATATATATGTAAATACATACATACCACGTTGGCGTGTGCATTATATGCGTTGCAGTCAACGTTGTGCGATGTATGTAAGCCAGTCGGTGTGGCGGTGCAACAGTTGCTGTACAATCTATGATTTGCAAACTATGTTGGGCAATGTTATATATACACATACATATCTATAGATGGGACATGTTTTATATGTGGTGCAATGTAGAGCGTGCAAACCACGCTGTGCATCCTATGGTGTGGCATCTGTGTTGTGCACCATATGTTGTGCAATATATGTTGGGTCAGCTGATTTCGGACAATAAAAATGGTGGCGATATATATATATATATATACACACATGCATGTGTGAAGCGCTTTATGTAATACATCATGCGTGGTACGACCATCGTGGTACGATCAAAGTTATGTAATCTATGTGACGCAACCCACCGCATGCTGTGTCAGATACGCGGTGCATCCTAGGCTGTGTGATATAAGGAAAGCAATCTGCGCTGTACAATATATGTGGTGCTATGGGTGTTGTGACACGTATAGTCTGCAATATATGTTGGGCAACTCATGTGGTGCAGTCTGGGTTGTGCAATCTACGGTGCAATTTATTTGCCGGACTTGAACTTGTCAACTCCACTGCTCGCGCAATCATCCCACCCACCCACCCGCAACTCGGTTTTCAAAACCCATTCGGGAGCGATTGCGATGAGTGCTGGGTGTTAGCTGGTGCATGTATGCGGCCGCGCTAGCCCGCGCATAATCGCGCGCGCGCAGGAGCCAACTAGTTTGGCGCGGCCGACGCGCCGACGCGAACGCGGTGGCGCTGACCGCTCGGCACATCCAGCGGGCACTTCAATGCGAGTCGGCGACTTGGGCGGGCGCGGTTTCATGGCAACGCCGACAAGGGTATACACGATGATGATGGTAACGGTGCTGTTGACGAAGCTGATCGCGACGACGGGGCAGCCAATGACGGCGCCGATGCTGATCTCACAGGCGACGATGACGGCGTCTTCGCGTCGGTGATGAAACTGTTGGAAGGAATTCGAAATGCGCGCGCGGCAGACCCGCGAGGGTGGCTAGCATGGTATCATTCGACACGGATCGTGCCACCCCAGCACGCGCGAAAAGGCATTCGAACGATTTCGACATGCGCGCGCGAAACCCGTTTGGGAGCATGTTATGAGCATGCTGAAACACACGAACTTTGCTATAACAAACAATGCTTCAACGCGCGCACGGTGTTGTTGAAAGTCCGTGTTGCGAAACTATGTGATTTATGCTTTGTGTACACTCGATTTCGAAAACCTTCCGAACACGATAGGTTTTGAACAATTTCGTCATGCGCGCGCGACGACGCGCGCGCGTGCACTTCGTCTCATAATTTTCGCATGGGATATATGAAAACTTCCGTGTTTTGATAATACGTGTGATATGCTTGTTTGCGAGGGAAAAGAAGGGGGGCCGATGCTGGTTTGGCTGAAATAATATAAACTCATAAATCGGATGGCCACTGGGTCAGAATCATCTGCGTTTTGCATGGGTTTCCGGGGGGTCGATAAATCCAGGGGGGAAGGTGGTTTCAACTTAATTATTTGTTTTAGACAAGGGGAGTCTGGGTTGTGCGATCTTTGTGGCGCAATCTACGCTGCGCAATCCATGTGTCTCGAACGCGAAAGATACCCGCACCCTTGCCCGGGCGGGGTGGCGAGGGACGGGGGGGGGCGACGCGCCGCGGCTGACGCCGGTTGGGCAAGTGCAGATGCAACGGCCCATGGAACATTACAAGACGCTGTCTTCTCCGGGCATCCGCCGGCACCGAAGGCGCGCGCGTTCCAGTCGGCAGAGCGGCCGACCGCGCGTTGGTCGCTCTCGGGCTGGAGTAGGTCGTTCGGGGGCGCGCCCACGAAGGCGCGAAATCAAGCGCCCGGGGCTCGACGCGCAAAATGCGCCCTGGGTGTCCTGGGCGGGCGCCGTTGCAATCCCGCGCTCGCCCCAAACGCCCGGGGCCCCAAACGCGAGGCTCGGCCGCCAAGGGCAGCCCCCTGGAAAACCCGCCTGGCGTCGCCCCAGCTAAGTCCGAGCACGCGTCGGGGAGCGCAGTCGCCGACGCGCGTTGATGGTGTCCCCGGACGCGCGCCCGTTCCTAGTCGAGGTGGCGTTTGGTCGAAAGCGCTCTCGGGCGCGCGCGCGGCCCCCGAAGGCGCCCCCGAACGCGGCCGCAGCGGCCCACGGGGGGGCGCGAGATTGCAACGACGCTCCAGCGGGCAGGCCCGAAGCCAGCAGAGCGGTGGTGCCCGTCCCCAAATGGGACAGGCACCACCGCATGCCGCGCTAGACCCCGCGGACACCCCCGATGCCCCCATGCGCCCCTGACGCAAGCCAGGGCATGTCGCTGCAATCGAACAACCAGCCGCCCAGCATGTCGCTGCGCCCCGGCGCGCGGATGCTGAAACAGCGCGCACGAGGCAGGCTGATCGGGCGCAGTGGCCAGCGCCCAATCCAGCAGGCGGCCCTTTTTCACCCGGGCCGACCCCGGGTAAGGGCATGTAAAAAACAATGAATGCGGTGCGACCGATGCGGCGCAGTCTATGTGGCGCGATGTATGTTGAGCACCCTATTTGGCCGCGGCGGGGCGGCGACGGGGCGGCAGCGGGGCGGCGACGGCGGCGACGTAGCCGCCAGACCGCAACGCAAGCCCAACGGAGCGGCGACGGAATGGCGACGGCAACAACATAGACGCCAACCGCCACGCAGGACCAAACGATGGGGAACAACGAGGCGGCGACGGCGGCACTATAGCCGCCGGACAACCACACGTGCCCACTTGTTTGTATTCCGTAAGACATGGCACGACTTGCAAACACTGCTGGGCGAATCTGTCGCTGCCAGCGTGGGCCCCGCGCGCTGACGTGGTGCACTGTCGATGTGTACGAAGGGTGGTGTGATATCGTGGTGTAGTCCATATGGCGTGAAATTCGGTATTGGCTACCTGGCGATAAATATATATATATATGTATATATATATACATATATATATGTATATATATATATATATTGGTGCAAAGAAGTTATGTTCGCAGCGATTGCTCAACACAGGCCGCTCGCTCAAACATCCCACCCCCCCGCCCGCAACGCGACTCGCGGAGCCCACGCGGCGGCAACTGCGATGCCTGCCCGGCGCTGGTCGGCTGATCGCTGCAGCCGCGCTGGCGCGCGCTGGCTCGCGAGCGGAGCGGCCAGCTGGTCTGGCGCGACCGACGCGACCCCGGTGGCGCTGATCGCTCGGGACTTCGCAGCGCGCCTCACAGGCCACGCTGACGCGCGGGCACTTCAATGCGAGTCGGTGGCTCGGGCGGGCGCGGCATCGTGGCGACGTCGACAACGGCGTGCGCGACGATGGTCGCAGCGACGCTGGCGGTGGCGATGTCGACGACGACGGCGCAGCAACTGCTGGTGCCGATGCTGATGAAGCCGATGACGACGATGGTGTCCACGCGTCGATGATGAAGGTTGCGGAAAGATTTCGACGCGCGCGCGCGGTCGACGGGCGCGAACGGTCCGCATGGTATAACTGGACAAGGATCGTGCCCCCACCCCCCAAGAACGAGCGCAGGGGCGTTCGAATGGTGTCGCCATGCTCCCCCGAAAGGCAGGTTTGGTAGCATCTGCTAAACATATTGAAAAACGCATCGGTTGTTAAGACGTCGCGAAAGCGCGCCGATTTGTTTTGAATGCGCATGTTGCAAAACCCCATGGTTTGATTTGTTCTCGGGATGCTCAAGTTCGAAGTCCTTACGTAATCTAAAAAAATGGTTTGAAGGATTTCGGGCGGCGCTGGCTGGCCCATCGCCGCGGCCGCGCTAGCGCGCGCAGGC